GTCTGAAAATACCATGGTGGCAGCAGGAACTTTGGTGTCATTGGATGCTTGTTCTTTGAGAGATACCTCAAGCTGTAAGCCTCATTGTCCTCAGACTCAAGGTGGGACCAATTGGATCATGTTCTGAAGAATTCCATGATTATTTAGTATAATTTATTTTGCAACATTCCAGGCTTAAACAAGAACCCAGGCTTAAACAAGAACCCAATGAATATTAGTCATTTTAAAATTTAATATTAGGCCAACTAGCACTTTGAATAGCCCTGAGTTTCTCTTCTTCATTTATCTACCAGATTAGACCTTTGGGAACTTTTCCTTTAAAGTAAGTACCCCTAATAGCAGATAGTATTATAATGAATCTCTTACAGGTCAACTAGAAGCAAGAAAATAATAAAAAATGGAGGCCACAATGAAAAACAATCATTATGTACATTTTTCTAATATTTTAGTTGGATTTTATATTGTGTTATATGTTAATATATTTGCTAAAAAGTTTCTAAATAGTTGACCTCCAGCCATATTTAACAATACAGAAAAATAACATGATGATTTTGTGATTCTAGGTCCTCGAAGTTACTTCACAGGGACAGGCAAACTCCACAAAAGGCACACACTCCGTCAGAACCTCCCACTCAAACTGTAGTCCATGGATTAGTGTGTCAGTGTGCCTTGGAGATGTTGAATAACATGCATTATGCCAGACTAGATATTTACTAGATAAACACGGAGTCAGACTTGCCCCAAATGATTCCTATGCAAATTGAGAATCAATGAAGTAAACCTTTAGTCAAGTGTCTACATTCTCTGACTAAACATGGTAGTAAATCAGTAGAGACTGACAGAGACTGATCATATCATGGGATCCTGGAACTGTGGCAGCTAAGGTAGGGTGAAGAGAGCATCTTCCCCTCTCCTGAGGGTTTTCTAGATAGGAACAAGAAAGTAACAGTGACTATACAGTATTATAAAGGCTAAGAACAAACGCCGTACTCATATCGTATTTACTTATTTGTGTGTGTGTGTGTGTGTGTGTGTGTGTGTGTACACATTCATGCAATGCACATGTACGTACATGTATAGGTATGCATATGTATGAATCTGCATGGATGCTTGTGTGTGGAAGCAAGAGGACAACCTTTAGTGTCATTCCTCAGGAACTGTTAACTTTTCTTTTTGAGGCAAGGTCTCTTTCTCACTGACCTCTAGCTCATGTAGGCTAGGCTAGCAAGCACCAGAAATCCTACTGTTTCTGCTTTCCCAGTGCTGAGACTCCAAAAACACACACCACCATGCCCAGCTTTTGACAAGCTCTGGGGCCTTGAACTCAGTTCTTCATGCATGCAAAGTGAACATTTCCTCAACCCAACTATCTGCCCAGCCCGATCTTCTTTCTTACATTGCCAGCTCAGTTGACAAATTCTTCAGAATTCTAGAAATCCTCCATTTCTGTAAGTACTACTAATATAGGGGAAAGTCTACCTGATTTGAAGAAAAATTAAAAATATACCCTATCAAGGGTGATGAAAGGCAGTTTACTTAGGTCCCAGGGCTCATGATAGGTTAAGTCTGTGAGCTATAGATACCTGTTTACTTTGAGGCTTTCCCTGTGCTCTCATTTGGCTCTGGGGTTCCTAATTCACAACTCTATTGAGAGTTGTAAGGGAGGGAGGGCATTACAGTATTTCACAGAGCCTCTTTTGCTCCAGAGGTCAGGGTTGCCTGAAGCTCTTATAGTTTGATGATTTGCAGGGTGATATCTTCACACAAGTACAGAATAATCTGCACCATCACACACACACACACACACACACACACACACACACACAACTGACAAGGCAGAAAAAGCAGAAAGTCAATCAAGATGCAATGTCTTTTCCTGTTGTCACTGGAGCTTTGTTATCCACCCTGAAGTGGAAAAGTGTAAGAACGGGATGAGTGGATTCCTTGAGAGATTGTCAAGTGGTGGTGTGAGGAGATGCCTGACCTCTGGGGGGAAAAAAGAACGAAAACTTCATCTAGCTCATTATAAGTGAGGTTTCTCTCTATTTCTTCTTCCTCTTCCTCCTCCTCTTTCTCATCCTCCTCCAATCTCTTTTGGCGACTCACTGACTTTCATTCAAGTTATTTAGAGGGACATGAGTGGGGAGGGCATTACTCAAAGGAGTCTACACTACTGAAGAAAATATTTCTCCCTCTCTCAGAAGCCATATTGTGAGTCCCTTCCTCAGCAACCATTAAGTGCCTATGAATCCCATCCATAATAGAACGTTGGTCACAGCTAATGTGCTGCCTGGAAGGCAGCATTTCACCATTTCACAGCATTCTCCCACTTTCCTTGGCTCTTTTATAGTTGTTGATGTTCCCCAACACATGGGAGGGGTGATACAAAAATGTTCCATTTAGGGAGGAGATCCATAGGTCACTTATTATAAGTCTTTGTAGATCTTTCACTTCTTTATAGCACCAATGTGTCTCAGTCTTGTCCCTGACTTGTACCCAGATCACAATGCCTGTCCCAGCTGTCCCTTCCACAATCAGTTCCACTGCATCAGGACTTGAGGTCTGTACTCACAGTACTTTGGAACTACTATTGACCTTTTAAGTTCCAAGACCGATGGCCTTCCAGAAGGTTACTATGCTTTGCTTCAGCCTGTGAGATTGCTTGTCATTCAGCACTCTTCTTTTGACACTTCATCATTCTGCCTTTTAACACCCCAGGTCTTCTCTTCTGTGCTTCCTTCAATGATGTGACCCCTCATCATCTCTTTGAAATATGTCTACTTCCTAAGGTTCAGTCTTTCTTTACAGTAGCTCCACTCTGTAACAGCTTCCAACAACCTTCAATGAAAATACCTCCACATGTACTTCTCAACACATGAACTAGGAGATGGAGGAATAGTTCAGTGCTGAAGAGTACTTGCTGTTGTTCCAGAGGACTGGAGTTCGGAACTCATACAGCCATCTGTAACCCTCTCCAGGAGAAACCGTCACTTTCTCTTGGCCTCCATGAGTAATCTTATACACATGTGCATACACATAAATTATATATTAACAAAAACTTTCAGAGGCTGAGCATTCAACTCAGTGGCAAAGAGCTCCCTTAGCATGTGTGAGGCCCTGGAAGCCATCCCCAGAAACACATATACATACGCATAACTTCCCTGACCATCTGGTATTTCTATATGGTTGACTGACTCTCCAATTATCCATATCATTTTGTGTAGAGTGATAGTCTTATCTTCAATACCTTCTAAGCTTAGAGCAAGCTCTGCCTCATGTAATGAGTAAAGTGAGGTTGGCAGAGTATTCTTTGCCCTTTGGTATTTCATAGAGCCACATTTTGCCCCAAGGATGTGCAGTGTGGAGCAGTTTGACATAGTGCAGAGGGACAGTCCCACTTTGTACTACTCACTCCTCTAACATATATTCATATGTGTGCCAGGCATGCTTCTATGTGCTAGGAATACAGGAAAAAGAGGGGAAGGGATGACTGTGTAGAGGAGGGCTTTCAATTTTGGCCTCTCGGATAGACTGATACTGAGCACAGATGAAGACTCAAGCATACCTTATGAAGACAACCACAGAAAGAGCCTTCCCCTCCACCATGGGTGGGCACGGGATTATAGCGTAGCTATTTTCTATGAAATGAAACATTCGTTCCATGGAGAGAGGAAGGGGAAGGGAAACACATAAAACTCAGGAAGCTCCAAACTGACAAAGATCAGAAACTTCCAAGATCTCCAAGGCCCCTCTCTCAGGTTTGATAGGCAGTGAACAACAGTTGAAGGAAACCCCATGGCTGAACTGCCTTGGAAGTTCTGCAGAGACCTCCAGAGACACAGTTTTGAATGGGCTGGTGTGGGGTTTTTGGCGAAGTAACTCCAGTAAATTCATTCATTGATTCATCAAGCTAGACTTGGGTAGGGTTATTTCTTTAGTCTGTCATCAGTGCTCTGTCCTGGGTGAAAAGAGAACATTTATTTATGTCTCCTCAGGAAAAGTTGCACAGGAGGTGCACAGTGAACAAGCCAGCATGGGTAAAGCAGGAAGCCATAGGATGATTCTAGGTGGTGATGGTGGAATGTATGAGGGAACAGTCACAGAGGGCATCAGGTCCCTTCGATGGCTGCAAATTTCACACAGGAAGAAACAGGGAAGCCATTATAGCATTTCAACAAGGAATGTCTGAGTGGCATGTTTTGGTACATGTTTCACAAGAATCATTCCAGTTGCTCTGGTGAGATCAGGCTGGAGGGACAGCAGCAGATGATCCTGCCATTGTGAACTCTAGCATGCCTTACTAACCACGATCTTCTATCAGGTATTTTGTCACAGTATAAACTAGTAAATGCAATCTGAATTGGTAAAAAACCAAGTAGTGCCAAAAGACAGAGGATGCGGAGTTAGGAATCAGATTTCTCAAGCCGAGGAGCTGGCTGTGTAACTTGCTACCTCTTTAAGAACTGAAATACTGCCGGGCGTTGGTGGCACATGCCTTTAATCCCAGCACTTGGGAGGCAGAGGCAGGTGGCTCTCTGTGAGTTTGAGACCAGCCTGGACTACCAAGTGAGTTCCAGGACAGGCTCCAAAGCCACAGAGAAACCCTGTCTTGAAAAACCAAAAAAAAAAAAAAAAAAAAAAAAAAAAAAGAACTGAAATACTGCTTCCCACTGCCCCACAGGGACAAAGAGGAAGATCTGACAAATTGCTGCCATGTCCCCGTTTGCTGTGTTCTGGAAAACAAACAGCTTCTTATCATAGGAATGATTTCTATATTGCCATCAAACCATTCCTTTGAATAATCCCAGACATTAGTCTTAAGTCAGCATTCTATAGCAATAGAGGTGATTGGCTTTATTCTCAGAGACATTTTCAGTGTTATGAGGGGTGGGATAAGAAGGGGACTGAGAGGGAGAGGGAGAGGGAGAGGGAGAGGGAGAGGGAGAACGAGAGGAAGTGAATAGTTCATATAGTCGATTGGTTCATCTCATTTTACTTACACATAGTGCTGGGCAAAGTGTCCCAAGGGGTGATCTGGTGGATACTGGGTTCAGGCCTTCCTACAACAACAGAGAGGATGCCACTAAGAAGAGAGTGGACCAAGGGTTCTGACCATGGACAGAACTAAAGTACATACACAAGAGCACAGGGATGCAGCTAACTGCATGGAGATATAACTGGAACTCACTAATGTATTACAGTTTGTATTCAGTTCACTATCTATGAATGACATAGACATGGTATGCTGTGCTCACCATTAGGACCCTAGACTCAGCCTCTCCTTTCTCTATTTACCTTCTTGGCTGCTTAGCGGGACAGTTTCTGCTGTGATAGGCCAAATACCCAAAGCAACAGGGTCATATGACCAGGGACTGCAGCTCCTGAAACCATGAAACTAATAACCCTCTGTTTATTTTGTTTATTCTAGGCATTTTGTCACAGTTACACATAGTTGACGTACACTATGTGTACACACTTACATTTTCTTGGCAAATCTGAAAACAATTAAGGATTATCAACAAAATGCCATTTAAACACATTTACTTTAAAATAAAATTACAGGTCCAACTGTCAATGAAGAGTATCAATTATTCCACACTAAATTCCATGCCAATTCACTTTTAAAAATCTTTGAAACAAATCAGTCAAAAAGTCTTCAGTGAGTTTACATTAGAGAAACAAATGTTTTCTAAACTTCAATGAAAAAGAACTGGTTTTGTGACCAGGTGTGGGGTGTATGCCTTTAATCCCAGTACCTGGGAAACAGAAGCAGGTAGATTTCTATGAGTTTGAGGCTGGTGTGGTCTACACAGTAAGTTCTAGCTCAGTCAGAGACTCTGTCTTTAAAAAAAAGTGACTGTGACAGAGAATATACTAATTGCTTTTCATATAAGGAAGCAAGATAATTATTATAAATTATAACAATTATAATTAGTATAATTTTGTATTTAATTCTGTATTATTAGAAATACTGTACATATTTTTAATGTTAATAGTTCACATGTTTAACATAATGAATGGACTAATGGCACTTGGGGAAGCTTTCCAGTATTATATATTACTAGAGACAGACTCAATAGTCTTGCTGTAGTTTTATCTGGTTGGTGTGTGTTCACCAAGGGTTCACATGCTGGAAACCTGGAGTCACTTTGATGATGTGGAAGACAATGGAAATGGTAGGATTTAATGACAGGTAATCTGGTCATTAGTAGTGCTGTCCTAAGAAGAGATCCATGTTGGCCTTGAGTGAAGTAACAGCCTCCAAGAAAGCAAATTATTATATAAAGCTCAATTTCTGCTCTTTTGCTTTTGTCGTTCATTCATGTTCTCTTCTCTCCCTGCCTTCCTCTCTTCCTCTCTCCTCCCCCCTCATCCCCTTTCCTTTATGCTATCATGATATGATGTAGTTTAGTGGAGGAAGAGGAGCCCAGAGTCAGGGTCATGAAATCCGGACTTTTGGTTTCTAAAACTGTGAGATAAGCATCAGAAAAAACACTAATCCAAGTGTCTACCTTGTCTATCACTGGTGCCTCAGTACACTGATGGACACACACAAGATACTCAACTACTAGAAACAAATGACAGTTTGCTCTCTCCATCATTCTGGAGGGGAAAGTCAAGGAAGGAGAAAGGACACAGGACTTGGGTTTTTTTCTATTAGCCTTGATTTTTATGGTACTTTGAGAACAGAGGCTGGGGGTGACATCAGGGCCATGAACAGTAATATCTGTGCAGGCTCTGTATGGACAGGATGGAGGAGGGAGGGATGGATTGAGGGAGGGCCTCTTCTGCATTCTGACCTCCCCCAGAGCCTCTGCCTTTCAATGAACTCTGCTTTGTCTTTTTAAATTCGTGTTTGAAATAAGATTAATATGGCCACAGGTCAGTATTTACAGATACATGCACATATCATTAAATATTTTCTTGTAGATGCTTGAAGCTGCTGCTACAGATTTACCATTTTATTTCTTTATATATACATATATATATATTGCAATCTAATTCCTGTTTTATCTTCTTAGTGTCTATCTAATGGATCCTTACCCTCCTTTCCCATCTCTCTTGCCTTTTACCCTTTTGCCTTTTTACCTCCCTCCCTCATCTATTAATTTAATTGAACTCAGTGTATGTGTACATGTACTCAGATGATGGTGTGAGGCTCAAAGGACAACTTGTAAGGAGTTGGCTCTCTTCTTCAACCATGTGAGTTCTGGGGACCAAGAGCAGGACTCAGGTCTTCAAGCTTAGCCACAGTGCTTTACCACTGAGCTATCCTGCCTGCCCACCTCTCCTTTTTTCACCCTCTTTCCTCCCTTAATCCTTTTCTATCCCTCCCTTTCCCTTCTATGTTTCCTTTTTATCCTCCTGTCCCTTCCTCCACTTTGTCCTTCCTTTCTTCTCCTTCCTCACCTCCCTCCCTTCTTCCCTTCCTCCCTCTTGTTCTTCCTCCTCTTCCCTCCCATCCTTCCTTTTGCCCTTTCTTCTACCTTCCCTCCCTCCTTCCTCTCAAGTTGTTTTTGGATCTGGCAGCAACTAGATTGTAGATTGTTCCAGTTTATGATTTCCCAAGGTGAAATTAGTCTCAGGACAACAGGGAAAATGACTCATTGTATCTCATGGGTCAGGAAAGAAAATTGATGAACAAACCAGAATTGTTCACAGTCACCAAAGATGCAGAGACACCCAGATCCATGCCTGCTGTCCCTTTCCCTGCTCAGCAGATCTGCTAATGATATTACTGAGCTTGCTGTACAGTCCCCTTTAGAGGGATTGCTATTGATCTTGACAAGCTGTGGACATGCTGTTCTTTTCCTTGGGGGCAGATTCTTGTAGATGGTTTCTGATATAGTTTGCTATATTTTACTAATTAAAAAGGCAATCCAAAACAAAATTTCTGCTTTTTGATTGCAGTGTAATTAACTGAACACTTTCTTTGGAATAGTTCTCAGGAACTTTAACTTGCTCTTTGTATGATGACAGAATAGATGGGATGTTATGTGGCCATCAACTCTGACGCTGGTCAACATCTTGTCTTTGCTGTATTGTGCTCTAGTGGGTGAATGGGCTTGGAAACTCCTATTCTGTACAGAAGTTCAGGGCAATTATCTTCCACTCTCAGGTCTGTGAATGGCCTTGTGGTTGTTTGTTCTGAGGTTTCCAAACTTGCTAGTAAGAGCAAGATCACTGTTCCACACCCCTAGTACTGAGAATAAACACAGGGCTTCATCCATGCTAGCCAAGAGATCTGTTGTTACCTAGGATATTCTTAGTCCTAGGATGCAGATATAAATAACCCTAAAAACAGTAGCGAGGAGTCCGAAAAATGGAATTAATTCTGCGTTTAACCTATGTGACTTGGAAGCTGGTGTTCCTGGATACTAGTAATGGTGGGTGGCATGTTCCATACTATTTACACATGGTCTAAGATGAGTTTATGTTTAGATTAATTTTTCTTTCCTCTGATACAACATTTTGGAGCCTCTGTTTTCGTTAAACATGGTCTAAACTCTGTCCAGTGGGACATAGGCAGAAGGAAAGTGTTCAGTTCTGAGATGTGGCCACAGTACTCCCTCATAGCCAATCTATCTTGCATGCTTTCTCTTCCTCTAAGGCTGCAGTTGAGACACCCTTTAGTTGAACTTGGAAATTTGACCAAGGATGAACTGCCACTTGACAACCATTCTGAGAAGAGTTGCCTGGCCAGGAACACTCAAAGTAGACTCTCATATAAGGAAAACATAAGCCAATACTACCTTAACTCATTGATTTTTTTTTTAGTTTGCCCAACAACAGCCGTACCAGCAAGAATCTTAGAAGTGATGAACATTTGATATCTCCCAGTGAGTTACAGAACCATAGAAGGCACTTTACGAAGAATGAAATTCTCTCAGCTGAATTGACATGTACGGCAGAATCTCATTCAGGGCTATCATTTGAAATGTGAATTTACTCAATAAAACTTTCAATGCAGGCCCAAGAGGAGATCTGTGTGAAAACTGGTGGCCACCTGAAGTGTATATGGAACTGAAACACGAACTATAGGGTTGGAGTAATAGCTCAGTGCTTGCTTTTCAGCCATGAGGACCTGTGTGTGATCCCACAGAATGCAAGTTAGTAAAGAAAGGGCTGGGTGTGATGGTGTACTGGAGAAGTGAGACAGATGTTCTCTGGCCAGTCAGCTCAGAATAGTTGGTGAATTGCAGCTCAGAGAGAGAGAGACACTGTCTCAGAAAACAAGATGGGTTATATCTAAGGAATGGCAGCTGAGGTTTTCCTCTGACGTCTTTATGCATGCACAGAACACTCTCACACATGTGGATCTGCGCAGATGTAATCACAGGTACATACATACACCCTCACACTTACAAAACTCCCATGGAATGTAAAATCAAAAGTTTCATTGCTAAAGTTCACTTGATTTCTAATTTTTCTGTTTGTCCTAGATGAGATTCAGAATAAGGAAAACACTATGACTTGATTTAAAAATTATAGGGAAATGAATCTTCATATCAATAGTGTTTTGTGACAGTGACCATTATTAGGATTTGCATTCCATTCACCTTAGCTTTGTACCAGGAAGACAGTAATAAAAGAAATTATACACATGTGCATGATGGAGTGCTTTTATGATTGCCTTTAAAATAAATAAAATCACAGTTTTTTCTTGACTAAAATAATATTCTTTCCCCCTGAAATTAAATGAATGTCAAGAGAAACATAGGCTATTGCTATTGCAGGGCAAGTAGAACCAAGTGACTGAAAAGGAACTAGTTAACTTCCAGGTAGAGGATGCTGCAACAGGGAGCCTGGGATAATATGGATAGGATGTTAGATGGGCCAGTGCTGTGAAAGAAACCAGACTTGGGCCAGTAGGATTCCCCCGCCCCCCGGCCCCTCGACACACACACCCAAAGGCATGTGGCAAACATGGTTTTCTGTCTATATACACAAAGAAAAACCCCTGCTCCTTCCCTACGGGAAAATCCCAAGCCCGAAGCAGGGAGGTTTCCAAACCAAACCATTCCATGAAGATGAAAATGAAAGCCAGAGCCCATTGCTC